TGACTTTGGATAATACGGGGAGGAGGGTAACGGGGCGGTAGTTAGCTGGGTCGCTACGACAACCGCCCTTGTATATCGGAGATTATTCCTTGTTTCCATGTTTTTTGGAGGGCAGTTTTGTTTGACCACTACTTCGAAGTTCGCCTAATCTGATGTACGCTTAGATAGGAAAAGCCCGACAAGTCACTCGCTCTTTTATGAAGCGAGGATTGCTGCCGATAGACAGTCACATTACTAGGAATAATGAGTGAGATAAAATGTTTCGATAATGAATAACCTTCCCTGTGGATGGCTCTGATGGGAAGACCAATTACTGGTGTGAGATAAGTAGGAAAGCGAAGTTTTCAGAGTTCAAGTTATCAAGAGAATTAGTAATGCAATGAACTACGATGTTCTCTCGAGCACAACTATCAGCAGGTCTAGTCACATCATTAATGAAGATTCTTACGGGAGTCCAAAACAGGAAACATGATTATCAAATCATGTATCTGTTCACATAACGTTCAACCTGCTATAAATTAACCTTATCACATTAACATACCAGATCATGGTTTGATCAGCCAGGAACCTTAAAAATCTCAGTTGTTTTCATAACCGGTTAATATAGATAATACTGTCTGGGATCGAACAGTTGATAAAGGTTCAGCACTCTCCATCGCTGAATTTCAATCAGGTCTAGTTGCCACTTTACGAATCTCAGGGAATTAATACTCATTAGTCATGCAATAAATGTTTACATCATGAAAGAAGTAAAGTAGTGCATAAAGGTACAGGAACATTATTCAGTAACCTACTCTTCGACCTGTTCCGTCACACTTGTACAATGTTATTAAATTAAACGTGCATGCATATTGCACGCATATTAGCTACATTTCTAAACCGGACAATAAATCCGATTTCCTGTGACTAGAGCTTGGTTCTTTATGGATATGCTGAAACCAATATGTTACATTCAGGTACACTGTATGTTTTGATTTGATCCCTTTAGGAAAGGGATATTTTCCGTTGGGTTTTTTTACGTGCGTCCCTGTTCAATAAGATAACAACTATATATGAAGTGAAATCTAAATGATCACAGTTCGATTCCCGACAGAGACAGCGCGCACCGTTGGTGTTCCCCAATAAGAATGAAACACCATTTTCCAGTCATTATGTTTATTTCATTGAACATTAGAATATGACATCACGTTTGCAAACACCAAACAAGCAATGAATTAATGTAATTTTTTAATTAGCATCCAGACTGACAGATAATCTGGTGGAATTTATTGAACTAAACCTTTTCCCATCAAGCTTTAGCCAAAACCCGCAATCCTTTAGTAAAGTTCGTGATATATTAAAGACCAGTGAACTGGTTTCAGGTAATGCATCAGACAGATAAGGGCAAAACAATTTAATAAATTGAAAGCTATCAGTGAGGGAGAACAAAAGGTATGCTAATAGGTTATCTAACAATACAAAATAATTGGTTTCGGCACCATGTTGGAAGGTAGAACCAAACATTGCTTATGAAGGCAAAAACTTCATTAATTATGCTTTTCCTGCGTTTTGCTTGAAAACCACAGGAAACAGCGAGCCATGAGATCAAAAATTGCATGTTTTGTATCAAATAAAGCTGTATAATACCATCAGTTTGATACAGCCTGTTGGTCGTCATAAGCAAAAGTTACGATTGACAACTTTCTTAAACATATTTTCCAACTCAACTTAAACATGCTTCTTCTTTGGAGGAACTAAACGCCAAACAAAAATTTTGGTTAAACTAAGACTTTAACAACTCAGGTACCGCGTTAGCTCGGCACATCAGTCCGTAAAATGCTGCATGATTCTGACTGTCTCAAAAGTCTTCCTCTCAGTTGGAAATGTCTGACCTGAGTGTGGTTTTATCGCGCGATATTTGGCAACTGACAGTACAGGCTTGGTTGATATCCGAGGTCAAACCAATCGTACCAGATTAGCCATAGCGAGTTTTTGGCCAATATGCAAATTCCAATCTAAGTGGAATTTAAACGCAAGTATGTGTTATACTCATATCACTTTTACAGCTACTTTTTCAACCAAAAGAAGTAAAGTAAGTTGCAGACTAAGCCGTTCCAACTAAACGATGCAATAATACGGTTTATTTGAAGAAAAAACTAGTTTAAATATTATTGATGGAAGCAGTATTCTCGTAGAAACGACTTCTTTATAAAATCGAACTCCTTATTTGCGCTCTCAAAACATGTGTTTATCGGCTTTCGTTTTTTGTGAAATATTGAACAATAACACCAGGAAATTAAACTGCATAGCTTAGCTGTCACTCACTGTTCAAGTATATTGAAAGCATTTTTCTTCGATAAATTTATTTTTATTCCATGAGTTTTACAGTTTACATGGTTACTTAAAAATTATGTTGCCTAAGTGCAGGGAGAAACTCAGAATGTAAAAATCGAGTCCTCACTCGATCAACCGTATTTAGCTTTGTGCTAACGAATAATTGAAATGTAAATTATTTTGCTTCCGCACATTCATCAAACCAATCAACGAATTTTCTTTTACCCTGAAAAGTAATAAAAATAGGTATTTTGATAATCATGTTTGCGACTGATCATCACAATATAACGTCACGGTATAATAAGGTCGACTGTAAAAACCATTTAAACCACTATTAAATGGTCAAATCAAACATCTCGGGTAACGCTCCCTCATGGAGATCTTGGATTTTCCCTTCAGTTGACAGAAAAAACATTTACAGTGAAATTAGGTCGCGCTGTGCACAATAAAAAGAATACAACTGCAATAAGTGATCAAGTTAACTCAGGATGTATTCAAATTAATACTGTGCAATTTATTACTTTACTGTATGAAGGTTGACTGAAGAATATTACAGAGTTTTTACACTACTCAAAGGCATCGAGTTCTTAAGACAACTAGCCACAATATGTTGTGCGTTGACAAGAAAGCCGTTTTATCTATCGATTTTATGCTAAAATCACAAAACACTATACTGAAAGGTAATGTCATTACGATAATACGAGCGACAATATTTGCTTTTATACGGTTTGAATTCAGTAATTACATGTTTACCTGCCTTGTAAGCGGAACATGGGACTGCTGAGAGAGATTGATAAAATTTGTCTGAAATCAGTAACTTGATTGTTCTCTAACTTCTGTTTGTTTTGAGGTTGTTAAGGAAACAAGCCAGAATTTTTGACAAACTATTTCTTTGGTTTCTCTACAATGTACCGCAAACAGATTAGTACCATGAAAAATTGATTTACTTTTCTGCTTTACAAGTATTTCATAATTCAATTCAATTAAACAGAAAGCATAAATCAGCCTTTTTGGAATCAATTAACGAGAACCATGAGTCAATATTTATTTCAATAATTCTATCTAAAGAATGCCAGGCACGTGTCAAGACTAGCAAGGTTGAAATCACTTTCGGGTAAGTTAATTGGCTGATACTTTTGTGTGAATTTGAAGCATTGAAACGATAGCAACGCAAGACTTTTTAAGAGCTTCTAAAGACTTTACATAGGTGTTGATCAGAGTAGTGCTTTGAGCAGCTGAATGGAATCAGCAGTCACCAAAAATTGTCTAGCTGGAAAATCCCGCTGGATAAACAGTAACTGGTAATAGCAAGGTTATATCTCCAGTTCACAAAGGCAGTCCATTGCTTTATAAAAATAAAAATATTTTACCTTGCTCAACATGCTTATAGTATAATGGTCAATGTTATGAACGCTTCTAGCAGAATCTAATTAAAACACATTTTTCAGCTGCCGGCTTGCGAATGAACCAATCGATAACAATAAGAACAGATGGAAGAATCAGGATACAAAGCAGTGCAAAACAGAGAAAAAACGATTACTGTAGAGTAAGTTAATAAGAATAACATTTTTTGTTTGTTTCACTGTGAATTATTTCAAATGTTTTGTGAAAGTAAAAAATGTATTGGTAATTTAGCACGAGCACAAATTTGTAGTAATTTTTTACAATACATCGGTTCATCACTGAAGATTCCCTCTGTCGTTACGGTGGCAACGGCTTTGCCTATGCTTGTAAACTAGCCTATTGCTCTCTCATATTGAACTACATGTATTAGGAAACCCTGATCTGAGAAAAGCGCAGCCTATCTAAGCAAGCATAGCAAACCGGATGAAAGTTTTACGTATACTGACCTCATTTATGAAGATTTTTACTTGCAGTCACCCAAAGCATTTAGATAGTTGTCAAATTCTTCCAGCATTGCCTGGCGCTCAGACTCCACCCGAGATTCGTATTCTTTTTTGAGGCGCATTTCTTCTTCATCTTCACGAAGTTTTCTTGCCCTGTCATCTTCACGATATCTCCGACAGTTTTGTATCTGTTGCTAAAACGAATTAAATTGTTCATTAATCAAACAATACATAACAACAAATCAGGCTGGTTTCATATCTGCACGGATGTTACCGTGTGGTTTATTTGTAAACCTCAAAAATATTAAATATTCTGTTAACCGAGTATTCTATTCCTTTTTCACATTGCTGGTAAAGTTGCATACCGGTTGGTTCTCCTAATACTGATTTTCCTATTGACGGGATGCTCACATAAAATACATCTAGAGTAGAAACGCTCAAAATTGGTGTTTATAGAAGCAATGGAACAAACTGCAATAAATTGTGTTTATATGTATGCACACAATAACTGGCACGACTCGCTTCCTTTCGCTGAATGGTTTTGCTTCATGAAAGCATAGACCCAATCGGTATCAATATGATTTTTGAATAAGTTCTCCCACCACGACGAGGATGCATCTTGACGTGGTGTGATAGCTTGCATCTCCCCATAACCCTTGAAGCTACACAAGATGATATTTACAACCGCAGTTGATTGGGTATCTTCTGACTTTCCGTTAGCATCCATTTTTGCGTTGTTCTTGCTGAGGTGCTTTACAGTTACATTTGTGGTCAAATTGTAGAGGTAGTACAAGCTTGGAAAAATTCTTTTGGCTTTCGTATGTAGCCTTCTTTGTCCACAAAACGGTTCACTCATCTTTTTTCCGCGGAGGGGGGGGCGATGATTTTGTGTCAGTTAAATTTGTATTGACCACTTTAACCTAGGTTTTTGAAAGTGAACTAAAAAAACTGATTGTGGCCACAAACGGAAAGGCTGTAATCGCGGAGATTTTGAAGAACGACACCGGATATTTTTTAGATTGCATATACTGAAATAGAAAGTGGATTCTGACAGTATTTCTGACGATTTTGCACTGCACCTTGAGTGAATCACCCAAGTGCTCAACCAAAGAATCCGGGAGTTGTTGTTTGAGAAAGTTGAAACGATTATTTCCCGAAATAAAATTTAACAAAGAAAACAACGCTGCAAGCAAGCGCGATTTAAAAAGGGAATCATTTCGCCGCACTGTGATATATAAACTATCTTGTTTCTGTAGTAAGCACCAGCTGAGATTGAGCGAAACAATCCCTTCGGTTTGCCGGGTGGAATACTCGAACTTTTGTGCTAATGTGATTCAAAAAATGCGAGGAACTTTGCAAAAGAAATTCTACACGTCCACAGAACATGTGAGAACTGAACTCATGCTTCCGAAAAATCCCGAACTGTTTGTGAGAAATGTATCGTCCATCCAATTGACCAGTCTCCAAACTGAAGCCCTGTCATAAGGTCTGCGGTTTTGTGTTCATGGGCCATAGACTAACTCGATAGAACCGCGTACGCAGTTTGAATTATTTTTTGGTCAACTGAAACAGTCAACCCCACACTCACAGAACGCAATCGGTTGGCTGAAAGCAAAGCTGGTTGCTCTTGTGCAGCATCACCGAATGACGCCATTGAGACGGAATTCCGCTAGTGACAGTCCTTTTACTCCTCCACCTTTTATGTTTTTCCGTTCATTGTATTTTACTTTTTTCTTGTTACCAGGCTATATCCCTATATAATATTGTGTTTTCTGCAATATGCACCATGTTGAAATGCTGCAAAATCGACCTGGATATAAGTTGTGCACTATTGCAATATGGTCTTCTGAAATTGATCTGGGGAAAGGCTTTTTTCACCCTGTGGTTTTAGACTATCCGGCGGACACCGTAGTTTTTAACACTCAAAATCTCCCATCGATGCGACGTTGCATCTCACCAAGGATTGATTAAAGAGAAGCTATATTTTCTACTCGTGTGTATACGGCACAAAGTCCATCCTTACAACCACCATGAAGCCCAGGGTAGAATTATCACACAAACTTCATTTAAAAACGACAACAGCTGCCCGATCTTCGACTAATAACAATCTCCAGAAATAGGTCTATTGCTTTGCTCCTCTTCCATAGTGAATTTTATATCCTTGTGAAATAAATTCAATTCAGCTAACAGCTCTTCAGACTCCCTGGCGTTTAGGGCAATTACTAGCGTGTCATCCATGTATCTTCTTTACAGAAAAGTGCCGTTCAATGCCCTACGGGCTTTGCTTGATAGCCATGTTTTCTAGCACTTGTCGACATACTCTTCAACCAGCTCTTTAATGTCAATCTGACAATGATAGCCTTCCGGAAGACGGGAATCGTCTCTTATCCGTTGTGGTTTGCTCTCCTGAGCTTCAGATCCTCTCATTTTTTAATACATATAAACTGTTACTTCAGAATCTCTAAGACCCATAACAGCCTTATTCTAAAGAGTGATAGTCGAGGTATCAATTACAACGCCGCCGGTTTCAAGGTTTCAAAAATCTTCTAGTAAAACCCCGTCATTTTTATTTAATCATTGTATTTGCATTAACGCAACTGAAATTTGGACAGTGGTCTTTCACACTATCACTATCTATGGGTTTTGGAGATATTGATAAACTAATACATATTGCTAGCTGCAAAGCAAAACATACGTTAGGTTGTTTTTCACAATTTGACGAGAAACTGATAATCATCACCAAGTTGATTCACTGGGATATTAAATGGCTGCATTATGCCTGAAAAGCATGAACTCTTGCTCAAAAAATTATCATAAACATAAGAGGATATTTTGAATAGACACTCCTAGCCTTTCGTTTAAACCAGCTTACCCTACGGTAAACTTATCTTGATCGTCTACCTTGAACCCCATACAGTGATGGAATGTCTCGTTTACATATACTCCGTGAACTGATTCAGTTAGGCGTGATATCACTGCGCCGGTCAATGGCTTCATTGTTTTTGATGGTTTGATCACGCACAGTGTTGTTTACGGATGAGCCCGGATAAGCGTTTGGCTGTATACGTTTTACAATAAAAAAATATGAATAAGCATGAAAAGAACAGTATAGTCGAGCATTTTGCTTCCCAATGGAAATTCATAATTGGCCTCGAATTTAATAAAACGTGAAGCATTAATGTAATTAGGGTTTTGCGAACAAATTTCAATGGTATAGTGTTATATGTACCGCCTTGAATGTTTAACAACGCTCTCTTTGGGGAAATTCAGCTAACTAAATTGATCGAATTGCTGGTTTGTACATTAAATAAGATTTCCCTTCGATAACCGCTTCTGAACCACTTTAAACTGGAGATGAACATGACATCTGTTGAAATTACTTACTAGCATTTCATCTCTCCATTTTTTCATCTGCATTTGTTCTTTTAGTTCACGTTCAGTTACGCTTTTGACCATCGCTTCTATTAACATTCGATCCTGTTCTCTTTCCTTTGCCTTTTCCTCCTAAGTTTATGAACAGAGAAACAACAAACCAAGGATCAAAAAACGAGGAGGACCTCTCCATACCTTGAGTATGCTTCGTTATTCATTGTGAAGTTTCGAAGTCTCCCACAAACAGATCACCTACCTATGAAAATTTCCTTCAAAACTACAGGATGAAATGATGGATGAAGGACCGGAGTAATGCTATTTACAAACTGAATTTGGAGGACCGTCCGGAGCACGATGTTTAAAACCTGGCAGAATGGCATCAGTGCTCGGCAGCCAATAGGCGTAAACTGCATTCACTTATTTCAATCTATGAAGCTCAACCAGGATAGGTATTTTCATTTAAACCTGTGAAATTATAAAAGGCGTTTAAAACATTTCGTTAAATTTCTTTTGGCTGAGAATTCTTAGCACAACATAACGAATAGATATCAAGGTTACGGACTGATGCAACGCGACGAAAGAAGAAGGAACGTATTGTCGTTGTCCAACTACCAAACGGAGAAACTCAACCAAAACGATAAAATAATTTATCTTCATGCTGGCTTAAGAGCGAACTGGAATGAGAGCAATGGAAAGAGAGAACTAGATCATCATAGAAGAACCTATATATGCGAAGAGACAGAAGCAGAGCACCATCATACCACAATTACTGAAGGTATCCTATCGAGTGCTGTAGCAATGTCAATAAACACATTGACCCCCGCGGTGTAAAGTTAATCTGAGCTATAAAAAATAATTTCTATATAAGTTAGCACATAAAAGTATGTTGAAATTGTGAAAAGTTTGGTATCTTCGATAGGATCCAAACCCAAGCATGGGCGCCGCCTACGCTTTTGTATAGTGTACGCCGGACCAGCTGAGCAACGAGGCTAAATCGGCAGCACTGATCTTTACACATTCAAATCATCCATCGAACTTACGGAGGCATTTGGCATCCACCAAGTAGCACGTAAACTGACTGCCACGACAGGTTTTCCTTCGAACTCACTGAAGTCCATCGAATGATGTTCTAATGTAAGGTTAATTGTTCAAATCGTGATTTGGAAGATCGAAGTTTTATGTTGAAATTGTGAAAAGTTCAGTGCTTTCGAATCCCACCGAGGCTACTGAACTTTTCATAATTTCAACTTAAGGCTTCAGATCGCCAAACAAAATAAAAACAAAACAAAATAAAATAAAATAAAATTACGATTTTACCAATTCTTTAGAATTTCTTTCCTTGCACGAAAACCACAAATAGATGGTTTTCAAATCAATTATTTTAACCTGTGTACAATAGTTATTCTCAAATTTGAGACCGACTAAATGGTGGCGTTGATGTTTGTTTTATAAACATGAGACACGTTGCACGCAATAGTGTTTGTTTCTCGATGTGATAAAACGAACCACTACTTCTATGTCGAAAATAACAGTTAAAAACATGAAATTGTGCATTTCATTTTCATGCAAGACGTACGTGAAAATCTCTGAACTCCATTACCTTCAATGTAATTTTCTAGTTATTTAAAAGCAAATCGAGCTTCGATCTGCCGTTTCGCTTAGCGCTTGACTATTTACATTTCTGCTGTACTGATTGCTCATATTAGGATTATATGGAACGATACCTACGTTTTGAAAATGTGAAATAAGTCAGATTAGCAAGCGTACTCGTAGTTTATTGGTTATTGTTTCGGGTTTGCAAGTTGACATGGTCAACAAAATGATAGAAGTACGAGTAAAATAAGCAAGAGTATTTAAATCTTTAAATCTAGTATTCGTGATGCTAGTTAATACGACTGCTGTTGTTGGTTAGAACGTTTGTTGTGCATACCTGTGGTTAGTGTGATTGATTGACTGATATTGCCTTCAACCAAACGCACACTAACACACGTCATGCGATCGATTCGCTGAGATGAATCGATGTCCGTATTGATCGGCCCGCGTTGACTGGTTCATTGACTGTCCAGCTGGATGGTATACTACTTTATTTTAACGCTTTCGTCTGTTCTTCGTCTGCCTCTTTATGCGTGAATACCCCTGCTTGCTCGCCGGTACATGAACAGGCTACATGTGCACTTTTGCGAATGAACATACACACATGATTATTTACTAGCTTAAACGAACACATTGGCCTTGGGTAGATCTTCGCGAATTAAAGTTTTACTGTTTACAAAATAGATAACTTCGCCTAATTCATTGCCGTGTTCGGTGTAAATAATATCTACAAAAGTTCCTTTTGATCATTGATTGCATTTTGACGGATTTTTGAGTACTGAACTCTTCAACAAGACCAGGACCAGCACAACTAATAAGGGGCATTGTAAGCATTTGATTAAATTCTATTTTATGTGATATAAAGATCATCTTCATTATGAAAAGGAGCGTAGTAATATTTTTCTACGTGCATGCACCGGCACAGATGTTCAACGTGGAAAGGAAATAGCATCGAGAGATCGGTAATGAAAGGCGGATAGGTGAACTTAATTCTAGAGTCCGGCAGTGTTCACCGGAACACAACAAGAGGATGAAATCCTGATATCAAGTAGGTTTTAGAATGCAGGTGAGAGATGAGGACCACCTAACGAATCCATTAAACCACTTTTGAACTGTAACTGGTTGGTTGTGGTTTTACAATTAGCATCCAACTACTAAAGCATCGTCATTCCACATTTATTAAGTGTTTAAGGAACAGGAAGTTTTCCAGCATATATTGGTTCTATATAAATACCCTGAGTTAACCGGGAGAGGTGCCAATAGGTTATCAAGGTGTTGCTTTACTGAGGAAAAATAATGAACTAATCGCAAATTATCTGACAAATGCTTGAATTCTTGTCCTTCTGCGAAACCAGTTCAGCAGATTAATTTAGTAAAAGTAACCAAAGTATTTATGTGGACAAGAATATCAGGCAATGTATGTTTCAATTCCTATCTCGCGTCAAAGTCAAAGAGCAGTCATTTTGTCCTAGCGCCAAACCGAAACTGGAAAAGACTTGAAAATTATCGCCGTCTGTAGTTGGGCTGTTTCCCATGTTTTCTGTATGATCATAGGGATGTCGGTTGCTTAAGACATGTGCCCCTGCCCTCTTCAACTTTTCTATCACAGATTTCATCAGGATCATTAAAATCCCGATGTTACATCTTTAGAGGGGTTTATGAAATTCGCTTAAGTTAACTCTACCTTCAGCAAGGTTTAAACACTTCAGAAGTGGCAGCCTTTTCCCCCGATTTTCTCGCACTTCTTTAACAGCACTGAATAATCTTGATAAGTTTCAATGCTATCGATCAGCCCAAATGTGACCACCTGGCTCGGTTTATAAATGCAGATTGAAAGACAGTTTTCCATGCTGTCACCTACCGTTCTGATGCGTGTCATCAAACGTGGTCTGGATAGAAAGTTATACGGTTGGTGAGCATGCACGAATACCATGCATACGTATCTAATTTTTAATTTTGAACTCCTTCTGAGCTAAGTTGAAAACAAAATATTGTGGTGAGTGGTGCCCCGTCGTTAGTAAATCAGTGGTGCAATACACTTATCCAAGTCAAATGAAGGTCACTTCATATGATTTGACACTGTCTAAACAAAACGCCCTTTGACACTATTCGTAGCTGTTTTCGCTGGTCAGCAGAAAAACATCACTAAAAATGTGTGGGTGAACTGAGCGTAAGGTCACACACAGATTTACCGATCTAGGGTATCAGTTGGAATTGATGCCACTCGGAATGCGAACGGATCAAATTTAACAGCCGGGTGGCAAATCAGGCGTCATCACGTTTGTCCGGTGACACATTTCGTATGATCATATGTTAATGACAATGTAAAACAAGACTGTGAACAAAATTCACTTACTTCCTTCAATTTTCGTCTAAACTCCTTCAACTCTCTCAATTCTTGACCAAGTTTTTCACCCTGAACTCTTTGTTTCATCCGCTCATCTTCATCCATGGTGTAGGCCGCCAAACTAGCTTTTGCCATGGCTATATCTTCATTGACATCAATGAATCCGAGGCGTTCTCTTTCATATGAATCACGCGACTGCGCAGTCGTTAAACCCACGGCTTCCTGAATCACACAGCATTCGATGTAAATAAGATCATTTTTCGGCTGTTATGGGCTAGTTATGTATTCAAACCAAAACCATCATGATTATTATTCTTTCATTTGCGCTAATTTTCTTTGAAAAACAATTTTCTTGGGGAGGATATGTTCGATTTTATTCGCTTTATTACTCAGTATTCTTTTCGTATCATGTCTATCTCATTTTGCACAACATATATACAAGTCTGTTTATTTATCTATCTCTGGTTTGCGAATAAACCCGGTACCAATGCAACAACAACATTGGAATCATGAGGCCGAAATCACATATTGGCTCTTTCTTAGCTCTATTCTATTCCTACTTTCTAGCATTCCACTGTTTTGAGGACGCAAGAATTTGCAGTAAATTTGTCCAGCTCACAGTGATAACTTCATCCACATTGGACTAGGCAGTGTTCACTCCATGCTTGTATGTATTCCTTTACCTGTAGCCTAATTCGACTCCGCACCAGTTCCATTTTCTTGCGCTCTTCTTCTTGCGTGCGTTCAAGACGGATCCGTTGGTCTTCCAACATTTGCCTTTCAAACTGCTTTTCCTTCTCAATTTCGTTTTTCTGGTCTGCTTTACGTGCAAAAATCACTTGATAATCCCTCAGCCATTCTTGTTGCTTTCTTAACTTTTCAGCTTTCTCCCTTTAAATAAAAACAAAAAAATAACTAGCATGTTTTTATTATTCAATCATAGACAGGATCTTGTGGAAGGTAAATGTAAAAAAGATATTTATTATGCATAAATGTATATTCCGGTAAACCATTGACAGATGGAAATTTTTCACCAATTTGGGCTATAACATTAAACATTTTTATTCGTGCTTTATGAGAAAATTGTGCCGTTTTCAACTGCTAATGAATGTCAGCTTTAAGATGCTTCTATCATTCATTAATGAAAAACTCACGTTTAGAAATCTCAACCTCATTAAGTTTATCAGTCGCTAATATCTCAATCTATCTCTTATATAATGAAGTAGGGTTGATTTGAATAGATAGCAAACTTAATACAGATAACGTACTCTATGGTATATGGTATACGATATCTCTTTCGATCTGATATTTGTATAAAACCAGGGATGAAATCCTTTTCAGGAAGTACTTAAATAATGCACGCAGTCGCCTAAAATTCGANACTCCAAAGATCCCAGTTTTAGGCTACCAAGAGCGTCCAGATGTCGCAGGTAGGGAAAAGGCGCCTAGTCGTCGGTTAAACGCGATTAGGTAAATCCATTCCCATTGCAAAGCGATACTGTTCCAGGATATGGGTGTTTTACCATTTGACAATAGTTCCCTGCATATGAACATAGCCTATATCTGTGCACAGCGCTGTGAATCAGCGAATGTGGTCAGTAATCTTAATGTGTATAGAACTATAGTTAATTCTATATTGTACTCTTGGTGCCCAAGACACACGTTTAAGAATTAAGTAACATCATTCGATTGCCGCTCTACGTACCCACTCCATGAATTTCCCGTGAATTTTTCTCTCTGACGATTCTGAGGCTGCGACTTCTGATATTTCTGATGAGACATCTGAAGTTGAACCAATAAAATTAAGCTCAGCGAACAGACAGTTATGAGGGGCAAAACTTGGAGGTTCATGAAAAGTGTTTCAAAAGACAGCCTTTTGCCTTTCCGGTGTAATTACTCACAGAATTCTGTTCAAATGTATTCTCTGGCGTTAGGCGAGTCGGGCTGGAATCAGGATTTAAGCGCGAAAAATACATGTTCGATAAAGCTATCTGTCTCGGGCCAAGGCATGTTTGGAAGCCCTTTGAAGCAATGCTTCTTTCGCTCAAAAAACAGAAAACTGATATTGAGTAACAGCTTAGATCATTGTCTAATCCGTGTCATTACAAACTTCAGATGCTCTAATTACCGGTAATCCATTTGGTGTCTACCCTCCATACGTCAATAGCGGACCCAGATCGATAAAATCACCAAATGGTAAAAATGGTGGGGTTGCATATAACTGCAAACGCACCAAAGTGCATGGTTAATGGTTGTGAGAACTGAACTGAACTGAACTGAACAAACGCACATTGGTTTGCATCAAGTTGACTATGTACTCCGATTACCGCTACAAATACATGACGCAGCGACGTTTAGTCAAAGAAAAGCTGTCCCAACCAACTTGTCTAACAGTCTTTAGAGAAGCATTCATTAAAATGTTTGAAACAACCCCACCTAGTTACGTCAACCATCTCCGGTCACTCATCGAGCATTACCTACTAGCTGTGGGTCTAGTGAACTGTGGTCTGATACCTGGAGTCGTAAAACCTTGGGTTTCTGCTGAATCTCCTAGTCGTCTAGGTATACGTCTGAGAACTCCGAATGGTAGCAAGCAAGTTTTACTCCTCCAGAAAACAGTTTTTGACTCAGAATATGCCAATCCCATCGCCCTGCTGAGCGACGAAGCTTAGGTACCATCCAGATGAAAAATACTCCTACGATACCGGCAGGTGTATGTGACTACACTCATTCTTTGTGGTGTTCAGCTAATGCCAGAGTAGATTTCGTCAACATGCAACACCTAAGACATCCAACCTACACTCAATGGATGATTGTTTGTCTCCGAAATTCTCTGTGCTTTGCTTTGTTTTCAGGTTGTGAGTCCTATCCTCTTGTTCCTAGGATCCTATTCGACATATCACATTTAGCTAATAATGTCTTTGAAACATTGCCCGTCTCTGGTGGGAATAAGGGGTGAGAGATGACAAGGTTCATTGTCGTGTGTTTGGTTCTGATAGTCGGCCAAAAGATTAAAATTGAGTGCACCGGCTCCGATTGTTCGGTCATTTTCGCGTATTTTTACCCATCGTCCAAAATACCGCGACTCTCTGCGCATGTAGGCAAAGGCTATCAAGCTATGGCTTGGTCCAGGGCCATGAACAATGTAGCTTTAGCACAGGCCTGGGTTGGTATTTCCAGCTTTCCTGTTATGGCCCATAGGATGAGGACAGTCATGGTATCGATGCACCAAGGGATTGATCTCCAAATAGAAATTATTGGTACAAAAGATCTTTGGTCTGTCTCTTGAAACTTGAAAAACGAACAGGCAAAATACAGACAGAAAACATCAAAGGTGTGAAAAAAATAACACTGCATGTTTAGATGAGTTTATGCACCGAAGAGGTAAATTTTCGGCAGTTATTTTGCGCAGAGACGAAAGAATAGATTAGTGTATTCCGGAAAGAATTGACTTATTCTTCACCGAAGCAGTGAAGCCTATTCCTATACTACTGTGACAACGTATCACGTCTGTGTTGCTAACCCAACTTCTTGATCCCATTTGTATCACACCGAGCGGAAACGATGAAAAAAGACATGCACAAAATAATTATTCGCATTGAAACACTGCATTAGAATGCATTCAAATAGTAGGGAATTAACGATGTCCCAAGGAGTGAAACCCACCCCCAATATCATCAAAAGTGCCTCGTGCCCGTGAAAAATAGAATGGGCTAATTCAAACACTCACCATCGAAACTGAATAACCTCAAACTAGTTCGACAGAGCATATTTCAAACAAAACAGAGTTGTGAACAAGCTCGCTTTTAGAGATTTCTATTCATGCCAATTCATCTCAGTATACATCAGTATTTGGGATTAAGATTGTCCTGTGAAAATAAAGTAAAATAAAACCACAGATTACTAGAAACGATTTCATCCTGAGACCGGAAATCAGGATCAACACGACCACATATTTGTTTGTCCATTTATCCGATCTTCGAGATTACATGTGATAGGATGTGTGGGGATAGCTTGAACAGAAAAGAAATGTATACGGATTTTCCTTGATCTTGGTGTTTTGTAGAGAGGTTTCCGTACAATGAATCATCTTGAATACTAAACGCTCCGGATACCCGTTACGTCGAAAGATCGATTTTAAAGTACTCAGCTCTCCTTCTAGCGTGTTCTCACTGCAATTCTTGCTTGCCCTATCCGTTAGGGAACGAGCCAGGTACCTTTTTACCTTAAGTGGCACAAAGCTTCAGAAATAAATGAATCCCCAAGTTGGTGTTACGATTGCGTGAACTTCACAAAGGTAAAGAAAAAATCCGTGCACATTTCTTTGCCGTTCAAAGGGGAGACACCAGCTGAGATCATACAAAGAAGAATGTCCGACGCGATCGATAAGACTTTTTATGCATCCAAGCTACGTGTGTTGTTCACGTCCAGGCCAACTGTGTTTGCGACTGAAGGACAAAGTTCCAGACTCTGCGGTCTCATTCTGTGGATACTCATTTACTCGTTCCTGTGGAACAACGTATATAGGCTGCACGGTCAGGTGGTCGTCCAAACGAATTCGTGAACACCACCCTGAGTGGCTGAACACCGGGACGATTGGGTCACTCACTATTGCATTGGTTTCACACCTAGCTTAAACATTTCACATTGTGGACATGTCCCAGGCGTTCCGCTCCGTTCGCGAGCAATTATCGAGACCGTTTCGCTGTCGGATGCTGGCTACAACAGAAGCCGTGGGCATTCGTCGGCACGACCCCCATCTGTGTGCCCCAAAACACTGTGGACCTGCGCTAAAGCTTCCCCACACACCCTATCACATGTAATCTCGAAGATCGCATAAATGGACAAACAAATATGTGATCGTGTTGATCCTGATTTCCGGTCTCAAGATGAAATCGTTTCTAGTAATCTGTGGTTTTATTTTACTTTATTTTCACAGGACAATCTTAATCCCAAATACTGATGTATACTGAGATGAATTGGCATGAATAGAAATCTCTGAAATCGAGCTTGTTTGCTACTTTACGCTGTTTATACTCAATATCATTATTTCAAATTTGGGAAGACGTTCTGCAGCTAACAGAGTCTTTTAATTCAGTGGTCATTATTTCAGCCTTATACTCATTTTTACGTTTACCTCTTCGTTTTCTCCTAATGCTATACCGATTTGGAAGCGGCAGACAATCCTAATCAATTTCCAATCATTTGTCTTCAAACTTGAGATATTCTGAATGTACAAGCACATAAGAAACACACGTCCAGTTTTAGAATCGACTGCCTCTGTTCGCGTGTGATCCTTATATATTTGAACAAGAAATACACGTTATTTTATTGTTTGGAATAACTGGTTATTTTCAGGTTCACGTTCACCACTGTAATCTTGAAGAATACTTGTAGCTATGCTCAACATTACGTCCCCTAAATTCCGAAGCACAAGCCTGTCGTTAGTCCACCATTCAACTAGAGGTTTGCCAACACAGTGCTCTAAATACGTTTGCATAATTCCGAGAACTGTGGAATAATTCATGATCGAATGAGGCAGATGATCTTTTAGAGTTGATTGAAATAACGATTGGCTGTATATGAAGTGTGATATGGAGGAAGCACTAAACATAATTTGTAAATCAAAATAAGCTTTTTACGACTATTTATCTCTTCCACCAACTGTGCGATGCAAAGGAGCAAGCGGACTGAAATTTGATGACGTCTGAATTTATCCCAGTGTTGACATACGTAAACGTTTTCTGATCCCACCGCAGAGATAAAAGCAAGA